GCTGGGAATTGAAGTCAGCAAGCTCAGAGTTGAACCCAAGGCCCACAGACCCTTGAACTGACTTAACCTGTCTAAGCCTCAGTTTGTTCATCTGTGAAAGGAAAACAGTGCTGTGAGTTTGCTCTGATGGTGAATAAAGGAGGAGAGTGATCAGAACAGTGCCTGCGATAGCTCAATAAATGGTAACTGCTATGAACTACTATCCCCACTGTTATCTTTACAGTGGCATTGAATGTGACTTTCATCAAAAACTAAAGTATCACGGGGTCAAGGGGAAAACCGCTGGTTCTCTCAGGCACGGGCTCCAGGCTTCTGCAGACAGGTGTGGGTGGGTGCAGAGTGACGAACTGGGACCTTGGCATCACTGCATATCTCTTCACTGTAAATCTCACACCAGACTGTCGTGGCTTCCCACACACTCGTGAAACAACAGCGTGGAGGCCTGGCTTCATTCCCCTGAACTCATATTGATTTATAACTGCAAGTGCAAATTAGGCTGCATATAAAATCATCAGCAACATAATTTTAACATAACACACGCAAGCTGGTAGGTAGCTGCTCCTTCACAAAACATTCTGCCACGCACGCTCTGCTGTGCCACTTTCAGCGGCCGAGACACCAGTAAAGAGAGGGCTTGAGTAACCGCCCACGGCTGAGGTTGATGTGTCGCATTGCCCAGAGAGACTGTGAGTCTCCTACGGAAGGGAACCTGCTGTGGAGAAAGCACAAGAGAGGGCCGGCTGACAGCTTTTCATCCTTTTGTCTGACAGAGTTTATTCTCTTCATCTGGGGACCTGAACAACATGGCTGTTTGGAAATAACAGCTCCATGCTGAGCTAAGCAATGAAACGAACCCTTATTTGCCAAGAACTTAATTGACAAACCCATGTGCAAGGTGCCCAAGGTGTAATTGTGAACACTCTCAAGTAATCGCTCTGTTTTTCATATATGACGATGTCACCATACTTCGAAAACCCTAGAACATAGGGAGCCTTGCAGCATATGGTGAAGGGAAGGAGAGAACGTGGAGGCCATGGGCTCGGGGGTGAGCAGAGGCCACGCCCACCCTCCAGGCAGCGTGCCCAGCACCTCCACCACGGGGCTTTTTAGTGTGTTTCCACCACAGATAAGCAAATTAGAACGATCTGGAGTCCACTGAGAATAACAGTGAAAACAGACAACCCCACAAGTCTGGGCCTCCTGTCTGGATGAGCCAATTACTCTGTGGAAAGACCAGGGACAGTCGAGGCAGGAAAAGCACACATCAGATTAGGCCGTTAATGCCAAATATTGCCCTTTTTTCCACTTTGATAAAATGAGCCAATAGCCTGTCACATAGTTCTGAGCAACAGCATGAGGCTGTAACAAAGTTTGATGGACACCAGGGCACAGAAGCTTATTAGTTATATTTAATTTTGCTACCAGCCATATTTAAGAATACTTGAAGAAGCAAGTCTGTCTCTTATGTGGTAACAGTTCCATGTTATGTGGTCTGCCATTCTATCTCTAGTCTACAAGAAAATACTACACAATCTCACTGTTACGAGATGCTGCACACAGGAAAATCATGTTTTGCTGTGTGTGCATGTGTGCATGAGTGTGTGCACGCGTGTTTGTGGGGGGCCTGGGGAGGGAACCAGGACCTTGAGCTTGACGGGCAAGTGTGTGGCAGGCACTGGCCCGTGCTGTGCTGTTTGCAGTTGCTGACATGGCCTCTGTGACCGGCGCCCTGGGAGAGGCCAGAGCTCAGCGTTCACGAGGAGCTGAGGTGTGCAGCCAGGCAGCACAGAGGGCCACTCGCCACTGGGCCCTTGTTCTCGTCTTCAGTGAGAGCCCCGGCCTGGATGGACTGACCAGGGACAGGGACTTCGGTAGGCCCTGAGCAGCCCCTGCGGCCGCCACGCATTGGTTCCCCAAGGGGCGCTCCTGCCTTGAGCCACAGCTCACAGGGCGAACTCAGCCTCCGAGAAGGACCCTGGTGTGCCAGTGTGAGAGATGGGATAGGGCGCCCTGCACCCCAGTCACAACCCACCCAGAAAGCTCCTGCTACTCACATTACTGTGCTGGGAGGAGCCTGGAGTTTGCCAGGGAAATGCCTAAGAAGGAGTCTGTGCCAGAAGGAGGTCAAGACAGAGGGGCAGTTCGGGGACAAGCTGGAGTCGCTGGATCAAGCTGTTCCTGACCACAGAATCTCCCTAGAATCTCAGTGAAAGAAGCCGGTGAGTCCCTGTACCCATGCTTTCCCACACACAGTGTTTGAAAACAAAGAGCCCGAATGACACAAAACTCTCCTTATGAAAATGGCTCATACGCTGCAGTTCGAGAGAGATGCAGTGGTCAAATCCTTGGACCCAGCTCGCCCGAACTTCTACTCTGAGGAGCCTCACTGCACAGGCAGCCTGGGGACACGGAAGCAGTCGGAGCAGACGGCCTGATCCACAGAGGTCGGCTTCAGGGTGCTACTGGAACATGGACCCACATGACCCAGACGATCTCTAGCAGAACCAGTTACTAAGACCCAGACAGAACCTGGGACAGAAACCCAGGAGGGAAAAAAGAGAAACAGGTGGCCAGGGCCTTGGTGCTGGCTGGGAAGCCTGAAGGACCTCCCAGAGCCTTAGCACCCACATGCACAGCAAGCTGCCAGAGGGGCGGGAGTGCAGCATTGGGTTGGGCTCCTGCTTAGTCTGAGGTCCAGGGAGTGCTTTGCCAGAAGCGCTACGCTTTTTATCGCAGCAGTGGCAGGAGGAAAGGCAGAGTGGTGTAGTGTGGAGAATGCAGGACTTGGAGCTGCCCAAGACCTGGACCCAGAGGTGGCAAAGGTTGGCACCCGTGCCCAGAGAGGTCCTGCACTGCTGCCATTCACTGGCCCTGAGAAGACGCCACGCACCCCACTGAACTGTTTCAGTTTCTGCAGAAAGAACATTCTAGAAAGAACACTCTAGAACATTGCAGAGTGTTTATTCAGTGCTCCAGTCACATTCACCTGTTAGCTATGTGCCAGTAATTAATCGCTCACCTCTAATTTTTACTTACTGTGGTAAAATGGGGTGGTGTGTGCTAACCGCATGGGAGGCAGAAAGGGGCTCACAGAGAGACCACAGCAGTGCCAACTACCACACCACCTGTTCCAGGTTAAAATCTCCCGGGCACCACTGGTCACCTGGCTCCTCATCATGCTTTGTGAGGTGCCGTGGTGAGGAGTGTCTGGGAAACGCCTAACCAGCCAGCCCCTAGTTATTGTGTGTTTTTGTGTACAGCATAGACAGGGACAGGCACTGATGATATAGCCCTTGCTCTCCAGGAAGAGACAGGCAGTCAGAAAGGAGCCACTGATAGCTAAGTTTATACTTCTGCTTCTTGGGTGCATATGCTGATGATCACAAGAGAGCTCAGAGAAGCAAGGGAGGGTCAGGGAGTGGACCCCACTGCGCCTAATAAACGCTGGCTATCAGCGTCAACAGGCAAGACAGCTGCGCTCAATGTCCACTCGATGAGGTTCATGATGAACTCATAAGCCTCTAGAAATTACCCTCAAACTATACATTGACAAAAAGGGACAGCCAGCCATAACACAAAGACAGAAACATGCCCTGTTAAAGTGTGCTACCGAAGATGGAATCGTAACCTTGCCACATAACAATAACCTGCTTTGAATTCCTGCTTTGAAAATGCAATGGATTTGGATCAGGACAAGGAAGTAGTTATTGCCACAGTTCCTTCATGATACATTGCCATAATGAAGGTCAGACACTGTACAACAGAAATCTGTCCCCAACGCTGGAGCGACGTGCTAAGACGCTGTCTGTCCCAGCCTCTACTCTCACCGTGGGACCCGTAAACTGACTCGCGATGCTACTCTGCTTTGTAGACTGCATCGGCACAACCTGGTTACAAATTAGTGGGTTTGGGACCAGCAGTCGCAGACAGAAAGGAGCATAATCAGATCCTGGTGTGCAGCTTGTTTTTTTAGCTTGAAGATTCCCTTTCTGGTGTTTCAACTTTCAAAGGCTTATGGTAGTTTAAGGCAATCCTCTTATAAGTGTACAAATTGTAATGATTACAGGAACAAGTTGTAATTGTTTCTAGCAAGTTTTTCAGAGTCTTTGATGTGATGATTAGTGTTTTATATGTTAATATATTGATAGGGTGCTTACTCGCTTGTTCTCTTGTATGCTTTTATGGTTTCTAGGTCCAATGTGCAAGTAAATCTTTGATCTCAGTAGGTTTATATGGTTAAAAAAAAAAAGTAAGTGGAAAGAAATTAAACATGAGAGAAACAAGGTTTTACAATATTTACCAAAAAGTGTGATTAGGGATTTCAGTGGAAGAGCATAGAGTGAGGGCCCGAAACTTAAAGGTGGAGAAAAAGCAAAAGGCCCACAGCACAGAGGAGAACACAGGAGATTGGTGCTGTGGGAGGTGAATCGGACTGGCTGCGTCCTCAGTGAGCTGTGACGTGACGCGGGCCAGGCTGAGGTCATGCCAGGGCAAATCGAAGGCAGTGCTCTGTACACCACTGGCTTCCTCTTGCCTTTTGGCCTCCTGCCCTTCAGAAATCGCCATGGGGAAAAATTCGGGCTTCACAAAGCTTGTGTTTTGAGCCTTCCTCTCATCGTGGTGACTTCACGAAGCTGTCTGGATTGTGGGCCTCGGAGCATGCACTTGGACACCTATCGCCACACTGCAAGATGCCTTTCTTTCTTGAGAGGTAGTGTGTGAGAAGGAGACATCAGGGACACCTCCAAAGCCTGGCTCTCCACAGCACAAACAGCAAGAGAAGGGGACCGGCGGACCACGAGAGGACAGGCAGTGGGCAGTGAATGCTGTGACACTGCTTGTGTCATACAGGAAAAGGCAGGAAGGAGGATTTGGTGAAGATGCGGGTTAGAGCGACTCAGAAGGCAAAAGGGGACAGAAGATCAAGTCTCCTTGGACCCCCACTCCGGCTCTTGTCGGGTGTCGGGACCGCCAAAGAGAGAGGGAGCGATCTGTTTTACCTTTGCTGTACACAATGCAGTTGTTTTTGTTGTCCTCCACGCCTTGCCAAGTCACATCCAGCAGCCACTTGGGACCCGCCGTCAGCACCATGGGGACCTGAGCCTTTGTCTTCTGCAGAAAGAACGATCACAAACAGATGCCATTTGCTTTCATTGATTAAAGACTCGAATAATAACTGTACTAATCACTTTATTTTTACAAACAACTAAATCTCCCAAACCCGCACTCCAAGCCCTTCTCCCCTCATTTACTGGTATCTTTTTAAGACAACAGAAGCTGGAAGGCTTTCCTGCTTTCCTAATCAGAGTGGTGGAATTATTATCAAGGATTTTCCCCCAAATGATAAGGGATCAGATCTCCAAGATTAGGCCGATCTCCTGGGGCTCTGAGTTATAAAGAGAATGTAGATGACATTCCCTGCAAAGAGCAGTGTTTAGAAGTGAACTTTAGACACATTGTACTTTCCTATCAGCAGGATCTCACTATTTCCTGAAACAGACAGGAAAGAATTTAAAGAATCAGGATCCATTTCAAAGCCCTATCCTGGGCAACATTCATACTAGAGGAGGAACCGGGGCTGAATGAATAAGGATCCCTACCCCATCCGCGAGTGTGGCCAGTATAGCCTGCCTGTAGCTATGATCATAGTGCTGATGATTCTCCATCCATTGTCTCTAAGAAAGCTATAACAGGGAATCCTGCATAGATTCAAATGCAGAGCAACTACCACGTGACATCCCTTGCCCTGACAGCAGAGAAGCAAGGAGAGGAGACCTATCTTCCCAGCTAAACAACGGGTCGGCGTCGGTTTCAAACATAAGGCTCCCAAGGCTCAGTATTTCTGGCTGCATGGCATCCAAATGCTTTCTCTTTAAATCTCTTGTGATGAATGTTGACTGCGGGAATGAAACTGGGAGGACCCCAGAACGTCTCTGCGGACTGCGCTCCTGGTAACTCACGGAGCATCGCCTGGCCTTGTTCTGTGAGTCACACACCCTCAGTGGGCTCAGGGGGATCTCAAAGTGGCAATCGCAGCCTCCCCAGAGGGTGCTGGCTATGTTCACATGAGGGGCCACTGGGTAGCACCAACGCCCCAGGAACAGGACAGAGGGTGCAGCCACCCTGTGGCCACTAATAACTGCACCCCAGATGCAGGCTCGCCCAGGCCTGTGGCGGCACTAGATTATGAAAGGCAATGATCCACATAAAATAGGCTTTGTGAAGAAAACAACTGAGATGGAGAAACTTCAAAAGATGTTACTTAAATGTGGTTTCTCTATAAAATGCAATACTACTGAGCCATAAAGAATGAGAGATCAGTCATTCATAGGAAAATGGATACATATTGAGGTTATACTCTTAAGTGAAATAAATAAGTCACATGTGTAAATACCGAATAGTTTCTCTGATGTGAAAAACTATAATTGTAAATAAGATCCTAATGGTATAATTGATAATGTGCAATAGGAAGACAAGGGTGAAAGGTGTAGGGGAAGTGGGAAGGGTAGGGGAAAGGAAATAAGGGAAAGAAAAAATATTACAAATTGAAATAAAGTCTATGTAACTAGGGAAGGGAAGAGGGAGTGAAGGGAGGGCAGGGGTTAGGGGAAAACATGAGAATCAAGTCCTGTCATGTAAACAAGAACCCAGTGATGAATGTAACTGTTCTGTGTACCTAAAATGTACCAATAAACTCAATGAGAAAAAACAGGTTAAATCGGGAGAGCGAGTTAACCAGACCAGATATAACAAATTTTGCAACACTGACGGGTAATTCTGATGAGTATATAGCACATTTTGGTTAATGTATTTGTGTATATTTGTTACATGAAATAGATAATCTATATCAAATATATAATTTATATCACAAATAGGATATTTAAGTGTATTAAATATAGTAATCACATTAAATGTATTTAATATACTTTATATATTTTGTTATATTAGTATGTATCATTTTGATTCACTTTACAGTCTTAATTTTCTAACTATGCATTTTAATAGTGAGCATAACCATGAGAAACAGTTGTCTGAAAGTCCCATAACAGTGACGTTCTAAAAATCTGTGCAAAAATGTTATAAAGTTATCTGTATTGTTATGACTGTGATCAACAATTATTACTTATTTCTGTTTCCAAGGCAGAATTCAAGGAAAGCAAGCACTTGATCTGTAATGGTCACTTATCCATATCCAATCAAATACTAGGCTATCGCTCCATGAATATCGTCTTTACCAACAGAGCAACAGGTAACCCACAGATGCAGCCCCAGGTCTCCAGTGCCAAATGGGGCAGGTCACATGGAGGAGTCTGTCACTGTGGCATTTGGTGCTCACCTCTATCACACTCACTTCCCTCTGATTGAAATGACAGATTTCAGACCAGGCACCAGGCCGTGGTTCTATCAGCTGTCTTATTTCACAACAAGCAATTGTCTTCAATTACAATCTTTCTACTCCATAAAAAAAAAGCCAGGCACATCTCCGTGCAGTAAATCACCTTCTCTAATTTTTCTTAAGATAAAAATATTGATCACTGAAATTCCTCGGGCAGTCCTTTGGTGTAAAGAAAAGCAGTTGATTTGCCAATACCTTCTCTCGCGCTGAGGATATGATTAAGTCTTTCCCAATGAAAAAATTTAAAAGTGTAGTGAAATGTGCACAGGGTCACAGGAAAGAGTGCCAGGCAAGTGTGCGCTGTTCTGGGCTCATGAAGGGCAAGGGGAAGCTTCTGCCTCGGCAGCTCAGGAAATAAGGGAGGCAGCGTCCTCCAGGCCCCCAAGGATCAGCGGGAGGGACTCAAAGCTGCAAGGACATCATGGGCAAAGGCGCCGTGCAAGGATGTGGTGCACCGCAGCGCCAAACAGGCCGGGGACTCTGCTTTGTGTACCTAACAAGTCTTTAGAACTCCTCTCGGTATTCAGAAAGCACTAGAAAACTGCTAGTTTTCACCAACACAACCATCACTAATACTCTCCTCTGTAAATGGAAGGGACACGGGCACAAAAGTCTGGAAGGGCAGATTCAAAACAGATCTTGGAGTTCTACATACAGGGAAATGTGCTCAATTTCCATGCAAAAGGCAGCCATAAAGATGTTTCTGAAACATCTTTAGTGAGGGCCCCACAACTTCCACTCTTGAAGCCATACTGTCAGACCTTGCCTTTGCTCACATGGTCCTCTGTACAAATTTTCAGACAAGAGAAGTACAGCTAAAGGTTAAGTAAGTTCCTTTAGGGAGAAGGCAGTACCAGATCTATGCTAAGCTCTTTCTTTTTCCTGCCATTACCACCCCATGAAGACCTAGCCTGGGTTTTCTGGGACTAAGCCATCTCCCTGGAGAATGCAGTCAGTGCTAACACAGGAAAGCCCTGGGCAAAGCAGCCCAGTTCTTCAACCTCACCCCACTACGCCTGCCATTGAAACAGCATCAGTGGTTTTCATCTCTTAAGTGCTGTCCCATGTTGGCTCTTCATCTGAATAAGCTTTTCTGATTTCCACAGTTCCAGGAGCTCCCTACGAGAGCATGTTCTCTAATTTTGTCCATAAACAAGTTACGGTTTAAGAGGACTTGATATTGTCACTTAAAAATAGTTAATATCTTTCCATAATGATAAACAGGGCATTGTAGCTTTCAAAACTTTGGTTAACATTATGCCTGGGCACAGGCAGATTTTATTTATTATGTAGTTGTGCTGATGATCTTTCTCAAGTGGGGAGGGAGTCGGGAGATGAAGGAAGGAAGAGTAAAGGATGGAAAAGGAACAGCAACCAAAAAAGGGTTAAGATGTGTTTTGTCCACATACCAGATCCATTCAAGGAATGCAAACCTTATGCACTGCAGGCATGTACTAATTAGAAAGGTGAAATAAAAATGAATAAATAAATAAATAGTCAAATGTTCAATAAAGGCCCAATTTGAAAAAAAAAAAGCAAAGAAAGAAAGAACCTGTATTGAAAGGAAAACAATTTGTTTTACTGCAAACTAATAAGGCCAAAGCAAAGAATGGAGCAAAGTCTGCTGAAAGCAATACCCAGGCTATAAACTAAATAATAAGTAGATAAAAAACTCTCAAGGGACCAGGTATTACAGTTCTCTGGAGGGGAGTCAGTCAATTTCTTTCTGAAGAAGTCAACTTTTGCAGAGACTGCCTTCAAAGAAGATTACCAACAGAGAAGGAAGGAGTTAGCCAGGATTATGTGAAATCTACACTGGAGAAAAGTCCATGAATAAAAATAACAATAATAACAATAATACATTGATCATTAGGCTCATTTTCCCCGGTCTCTAAATAAGGACTCATAAAAATTCTACAATATTAAGAATTAAAAGCAAGTTCCTTGAGTTTAACCATCTGATTTCACAAGTGAAGAAAATGGCTTATTTGCATGCCACAGAGGGTAAAACCTGGCACAACATGTTGGTAAAAGAGAGCAGGTACAACAGGGGTGATGCAGCGACATGGTGCCCGAGGTGGCCAGGCCCTGAGCCCCTGCACCTGTGCATATGCTGCCTGACAGGTAAAAGGGAGTAGAAAGATGTGATTAAGGGTTAAGACCATGAGATGGTAAAGTCATCCAAGATATCACTCTAATCTTATGAGTTCTTAAAATCAGACGAGAGGAAAAAGAAGAGCAAAGAGGCTGGACAAGGAGGATTTGACCTGCCTCTGCTGCCTTTAAATTGGAGAACCAGTCCATGCACCAAGGAGTGCGACAGGTCTGGAAACTGACAAGAGCCTCAGTTTACAGGAAATGAAAAAGGAACTTCCCTCAGCCTTAAGGTGCTCCCTTCTCCCAACCATCCCACTGAACAAGGGCCTCCTAGAACTTCACATGGGAACATGTCTGCCTGGCACCTTGGATTTAGTCAGCTGAGACCCATACTAGATTTCTGATATGCAGAACCAAAAGACAATAAATATGTGTTTTTAGGTTTTTGTTTGTAATGGTTTGTTTCTGCAGCTATGGAAAATGAATACAAGAGGTACTCCAACTTACTGATTGATGGTTCAGAAGATGATGAAATTTTCTGATTAAATGTGTTCAAACTGCAAACAACTTCCCCTTAGTTGGAATTCCATCAAATCATCACAGTCACTGCACATTCATT